TTTTTATCGTTGGTTGCATTATCAAGCGAATACACAACACTTTATGCAACTGTTTATCACCAACCATACGCTGCAGTAAGTATATTAATATGTGTCCACCAAGAAAATGCCTCTAATGAGGCTTGGTTGCGCAGTTGCTAAGCTATTAGCGTCGGTGACGGAGTTATGGGTTCGATTTCTTCGAATAAGCATATTTTTGGTCCACAGATTATTGTCAATAACCTAATTCACAATTCGTAAGAGTGAAAAGAAAATGTACGATTTCAAAGGTTATTTTGTTGTAATTTGGGGGTTTGGGGCTTTGGGGTGATTAATGTTCACAACTTTATACATGATCACTCCGGAAAATACTACTTGATAGCCTTAAGAAAATGATGAAACTCAATTTTTTAACGGTTTTTAGCGACCAGTCAGTTTTCCGTTCGCCTGTTGCATATAAATAGCCTACAGAAGTAATCAAGTAACTCGTGTAATAATATTATGGTGTCACGTAGTGGTATTTGTTTTTATATTATAATATAATAATATTATAGCGTAATATGGTATGGGGCATATTGTAAGAGGGTTTGTCCCATATAGTGACAACAAAACCGGGACTACCGACTGTCTCTGTTAAAAGTAACAGCCTATACATGTCCCACTGCTGGGCAAAGGCCTACTCTATACAGAGGGTATCAGGGCATAGTCCACCACGCGGCCCCACTGCGGATTGGAGGACTTCACATATTCGAAATACATTTTTTTTTGTTATTATTTCGAAAATATGCAGGTTTCCTCACGATGTTTTCCTTCACCGCGGAGCACGTGATATCAACTTAAAGTTAAAAAATTGGTGCCGGCACCGGGGATCGAAGTTGCTCGAGTATATATTGAATTAAAGGCGAGCGCCCGGACACTGAGCTATCTCTGTTAATAAATGCATAACAAGAGCTTGATTTTATTGCTGGTGACAGACTTTATTGCTATTATTTTTATTGACATGAGATCAAATAACAAATTACTACGACGAGCAATTGTCAAATGGCTTACAAGCGATGGGGCCAGCACGTGAGAGGCATGATTTAGAATTTGATTAGTAAAGCAGAATTGAAAAAAACTTTTATGTCAGATATTTCCTGCCAGTAGTCAATAATCAGAGTACACTGAGATACCTTTAGTACCCTTAGTAAAAAGGCCTCGTTGAAGTATGCGTGGTAATATACCTACACAGTAACAGATTATAGAAAAACTTGGTGTTCAATAATCTCTAACGTCAAAATAACGACCCCAGTAATGTCTAGAGGGGGAAAGGCGCACCTGACGCCGGAAGTCATTAGTAAATAGATGCTGATAACGCCCCCTACTCCCCTAAATTACAACTAGCCTGAACGTATCTGCCATTTCGGTGAAGCATTGTACTCTTATGCCTGTTGCGTAAGGTATAAAATCGTCTGGCCAGGCGATACTCGGCAGCATTGTTACAGTTGTCGGAATATAAAAAAGGACTGTCACTGCTCGATGTATCTTTTGTCGAGATCTCCTCGGCGTCCGTCCCCCCGGGCGTCCTAAGTCATTTTTTTTTCGGCCGTCGCGATGTCATATTGAGACTCGGCCCGAGTATAAACACGAAGCACTAATGGAGATTACTCGCTGCGTCTCCCGACCTTTAATGCAATGTCTCGTGACAATTTTCCTTCTCTCTCTATCTCTCTCCCTCTCTGTCTAGAATAATTATCCGTAAAGGTGGGTCGCCCTTATTGCATTTTGCTGTCATTGTCAGTACGTAAAGATAGTCGTTCCAGTGACGAAGCTTTTCATAAGTGACGATCTTATTCAATAGAATCGTCCAATATGAAAGTTAGAAATATGTCTCGATGCGACGCAAGATCGAACGCGTTATAATGATTGGCGTTACAAAATCCGATTTAACTTGCGTCGAAAAGATTATTTCATATTTTTTTTAAATAAAACTGCTATGCGGTGTTTTCATCTCTGGTTATTTCTTAACCGTAAACCTTGTAATTAGACCGATTACAAGGTTTACATTGACATTGTTGTAATATTATAAACGTGCTATAGCAGTATCCGATGATATCTTTTTTAGTCAATAACTTGCGTCATGTTGAATCTAGTTTAGTTGGTATTCAAAACAGTGTATGAATTCGGTTACGGGACAGACCATGAACGTGGTATAGGGTTCGAAACGTCGGGTATTAAAATTAAAAATAAACGCGATAAATCCGTAAAAAAATGTTTCATTTATAATGTTTAAAATATTATATCTGTACCACAGTTGTATAATCACCTAACAATATATTGTTATGTAGGTTTATAGAGAATTCAGGAATTGTGTATAATCTCATTAATTTACTCTACAAATAAATCCTAGCTTAGTTCGGTTGGAGATTCTTCAGTTAGATTTGGAGGTTGGTCAATTGACACAGCCATCACATTGGTACTATTGAGTCAGACAGGTGGAATATTGATTCCACCTGTCTGTTTGTATGCAACGTCTAATTATTTAGAATGGTACACACACGTTTTAATGAGCGTGAAACTACGTAGGTTATTATTATTATTATTTTTTATGTGAAAAGTTGTCAAACGAGCTGACGGTTCACCTGATGTTAAGTGAATAGCGCCGCCCATGAACATCTGCTACACCCGTGTTTGCAGATGCGTTGACAACCTTTTTTGAAATTGGGCTCCGGCTACCTCACTCACCAGACGAAACGCGAAAGTATTTCTCATACTTCCACTTTACGCCGGTCTTCTGCGAGGACGTGGTACTTACCCGGACGAGCCTGCCCATTCGTGCAACAGTCGAGGCTGCTGCGTGGCTCTACCACCGTTAATTATTTAATTACCACTGAATTAAGCATGAAATTTTGACAGTTTTGAAACGAGTCGGAATAAAGGCTTTTCAATATGACTACTAATAGAGTGACATCTCTCATAATGTCAAGCTATAGAATATTAGTGTGATCTACTTGTATCATTAATTAACATTTTTTGTAATACAATTATATCGTGAAGTAATTAATGACAGACATCAGCTTTTGGTGTTTGTTTCCTCTTCGTGTGATAACGGCAGAAAGGATTTTACCAATATTTAAATGGAGACAAAAGAAGTTTTTAACCATTACTCCGTAGTAAACAATTTATAGGGAAAAGTTGTAGTTATAAATAGGTATTCATAAAGTTAGCATTAATGACGCCGTGGCGCCGTTGCCAAGGTATTGGCTTCGGCGTCGGGGGTCGTGGGTTCGATCCCCACACGGGACAACTATTTGTGTGACCCACAGATAATTGTTTCGCATCTGGGTGTTTGTCCACGTGAAATTTATGTTTGTAAAACGTCCTTACAACACAGGATAATATTATCCTAAAGTGTTTTTTTAAACAAATAAATAAAAAAATAAAAAACATAATAGTTGGCTCGTTTTATAAGGTCGTTTTATACGTGTTGGTATAAAGTATGAGTGATGTGGACGTGCAGAGCCGCGGCAGAGCAGCTAGCGTACCAATAATGAGATGTCAACGCGTTTAACCCTTGTCGCGGCGCGAGAGGGCGCCCAGTCTCCCGTTTATTGACTTAACAAAACCAACAATCGTGATTAAATCGCGCGTAAACTAATAAAATAATAGTCTAACGCTTCTGTATAGCGTGGGCTTATATGTGCGCGTTCGTTTTGTTTTTAAGACGCTTTCTATTACTTTCAACTGTGTGTTTGTATGTAAGTTTGTAACGGAACAAACAGTCAGAATAATTTGCTCACATATCAAGGTCTGATGATAATACAACATCATAGTAAAATTGTTCTATTATCCTTAACACGAAGAAATTACCAAGCGCAAATTACCACTCGTCCATGAACCTGGCACGGGGAAGTAACGACGAAAAAATATTAAACGAAAAAAAAAAACAGGTGTGTGTAGTTATGTACCCACCTAAGCAGTTATGCTTTTCTATCGTAACAAAAGAAAAATAACTAAGAATTTTATACCGTGTGCTGATACTTACTCTCTGCTCGTTGAAAAAGAGACATGAAATGCAATGCAATTCATAATTGTTTAAGTAAATAACTTGGAATTAAAGGTATATGCGAAAGTGTCCTTTTGGGGAGACCTAAAATGGCACCTATTAGGTGTCCCTAAAAGGTGCCAAATAGGTGTCCCGTACCGTAAAAATTCATCGTTATAATTTTGCCCAAACGCGCAAACTCAATAAATAATAGTTTAAAAACACGCTTTAATCATAAACCGAACGCTTTTTTAACTGTATCCATATTTTTTTATTAAATTCTAGACTTAAATAATGTTATATAAAAAATGATAAATATTTAAAATCACTTGTAATTAGTTAATTACATTCATTTTAACATATCTCAAAGAGTGCGTGATTTATGGGCAACTCATTTATTTTACGCGCGATTATTCAGAACTAACACGCACACAAGTTCGTTTCAAAAGTATACGACGCATTTATGAATGACTGAATGTCTTGACAATTGACTTGTCGACAATGTGGCCACATTGTCGACAAGTTCTGTTTTCTAAGGAATGGAATGGCAATTTTTTTTCGAAAAAGAAAAAAAATTGTTTGTTTTTATTTCAATAAACGATTATACTACCGAGTCTGAATCTCCTGTGTAAATTTAGGCACCGTTAGAAAAGCCCCCCTGTATAGCAATATATGAATATTTTATATGAATAAATAACGTTGATCACTTTTTTAACTCTTAAACTCTCACAAATAGTTGTCTCGCGTGGATATCGAACCCATGACCACCGACGTCGATACCAATACCTTAGCAACTGCGCCACGGAGTATTTATGAAATAATCAAAATTGCATTATTAAATTAACAGCATCTCTTGGTAGAGACTTCTAACTTTCTGGTAGAAAGTTATGCAAAGAACAAATTATTAGTAGAGAATAATTCTTTTATCTATACAATTTTATTACCTTGTTAGTTGTGGTTAGGCGGAATTATGTCTTGTGCACGAGTGAAAAAATTAAAGCGTGCATGTAAGCCTACCGCGGGCGCTGGGCGAGGGGCGCGAGGGGTGCGCGGGGCGCGGGGGCGCAAATTTCATTACAATTAGCCGCCGCGGGCGCATGAATAATTCATGCGGGGCGCGCCCCGGGCCCCGCAAACAGCGAAGGGTTGCGAACACAATGACCGGTTGCGCGCTCCTGTTTGCCGGAATTACCGAGCCCGGTGCGCCCCCCGCAAACGGCGCGTTCATTAGCGCCCAGATTTCTCCCGCTGATCGAGTTCCGCCGATCGGCCGCCGCGCAATTCCTCTAATACAGAGCTCCCCACAGTTTGCAAGCCGGCCCTGACTGGGGATGACTCAATGCTTACATTTGTAAAACAGGTACAAATGTACATGGCCATGCATTGTAGTAGTAGATATCTGATAACGGAATGCTCGAAGAAGAGAGGAGACACTGTTGCCATAAACTAGGCCGATACCGGAGTTGCATGGGTGTCTATTAGAAAACCTATGACGGCTCCTTGAAGCCGAAGACTCGGGCATGTTTCAAAACGAGGTTTTTCTTGCCCATTTTATAAGTAGCAAAAGTCTGCGCAGCAATTTTTCATCAAATACAGACTAGACCAAGGTATATAAATAAATTATTATTTTACTATGGTAGAGCGGCTCTATTTAGGACTATAGCTGGGCAAGTACTACAACAATCTTGCTGGAGACTAATGTGAAGTTGAAGTTCTTTCCCATTTGTGTTTTGGTTCATCTTTGAGGCCACCTGGGCCCGTTTTAAAGGTTTGCGCAACGACAGCAACCTAACATGGTCGCAGGGCCGTTTACCATCTTTACCACGAAAAAAATCATTTAAATACTAGTCCGATGCGCGAATTGAGCACGACGTCGAAGCTTACAGCTTAATAACTGAGTCCAGATATCCTCACTGGACAACACTACAAACACTGCTTCCATACGAGCACGGTGAAAACGGCATATCATGTACACAAGGTACACCAGCGTCCCGGAGCGTTTTACCCCGTTCCCAGCCTACCAGTAGCACAGTTGAGGGCCGACGCAGCGGCCCATAGCCGAGGGGCCCTTCATGTTCCTCATGTACGGATGTCGACATGCGTGATTCTGCTAGCGGTCTCCGAAACTCGTGGCAGCTTGTCTTGCATGTGGCTGGGATCGTCGTAGCTTTACATAGTCTTCGGATTGAAAGCATAACGTTCCACCGAGTTTAAACCGAGTGTGGTTTAAACTCGGCGTTAACCGTGGCGAGCCGTGACGGCCGTCAGAATCGAGATGAGATGCATATCGAGTTACCCCTCACTGCAACGAGCTGAGTAACGCGTATGGATCTAAATCGGTCCTAATGCGCATGTCGACGATGTATTTAGCGGTCCAAGTCCTCGGGTGTAGCGGGTGGCGTTATCACCCCTCGACCTCGCCGATCGGGTTTCAGGAGACGCGTGCGGTGCAAGTAGCGGGCGGCAGCGGCTAATTTCGAAGCGGGGCCGATTGTTATGGAATGACAACTTGTGACGACGATGCTGTCATCTTTGGTTTAAAACTTTCATGAATTGTAGTCGATTTTACTTGTTACATTAAGCGGAGGGCCGTGCGCAGTAAGCTCGTCTTCAAGTCAGAGTAAAGTTCTGCGTTGAAGCAAAAACATCATTTAAAGTAAAAGTAATAAAAGTAAGATCTAGCAGAGAGGGACATGATCTAAACGGTCTTGTTTTTAACCGAATTCAAAAAAGGAGGAGGTTCCTCAATTCGACCGTATATGTATATTTTTTTATGTGTGTTCGTGGATAACTTCGTCGCTTATGGGCCGATTTTGATGATTCTTTTTTGTCGGAAAGCAGATATCCCAAGGGTGGTAAAATGATAAGGAAACCCGGATCTGATGATGGCATCCCAGAAAAATTGAGGGCCATCATTGAATATTATAGGCATTAACAATGTTTTTATAATTTTCTGAATGAAGTCGAAGTTTTGTTAAAAATTATACTTGTTGTATGTTACGTTTATTTGTTAATCTTTTACAGAACTATAGTAGCACATAATTATATGATTGATTAGTCGGCTGAATGAAACGCTTGAGTTTGTAAATCGCGTCGCAATTTTCAGTGAAGGCACGCAATGACAAGAGCCATTTGGTTTCGGCGCCGGCGCCTCGGCATCCGCTTCTCCCATTGCTACATTCAGCTGGAGGCAGCCTAAAGACGAGTATACCGATTTTTAATGATATTCGTCCTAAATCAACCCTGACGAAATTACTTCTGCTTAAATCACTGTCAATGACCACAACTGTTTATTTTATTTTATTTTATGTGAAAAGTTGCCAAGCGAGCAGACGGTTCACCTGATGTTAAGTGAATACCTCCCACCACCTACCCATGGACATCTGCTACAACCGAGGGTTACAGATGCGTTGACAATCTTTTGAAAATTGGGTTCCGGCCACCTCACTCACCAGACGAAACGCGAAAGTATAATACTTCCACTTTACGCCGGTCTTCTGTGAGGTCGTGGTACTTACCCGGACGAGCCTGCCCATTCGTGCAACAGCCGAGGCTGCTGCATGGCCCTACCACCGCAAACTTTTTTATTTTGTATAATCACAGTTATAAATTTTCTATATATGTATATAACGTAACGTTTCAACTAATTTCAAAGAGGTTCGAACTATGCAAGCGACTCACTGACCAATGACAGTGGGTTCCCCCATTAACTTCCTCACGGAACGAAACACAATAATGTATGAAAACTTATAATTCAAGCGGATTTAATATATCGGAATATCAACCGAAAACAGATAATAAACTCCTTGAAACGTCACTCTACACGCAGTTTACGCTGTCATGTGTGTTTGTTTTAAAAACACTCAAAGAAAATAATATTTGCGGCGGCAACTAAATATTTTTCTCCACTATAGCGAAACGGCCCTAAGTCAACATTATACACTTCCTCTATTATTTTTTTTTGCAAAAACCGCGAAAGGAAAGTATTCCGTTACAGTGAAAAAAGTTCTTAGTATGATGGCGCCACTTTTTTTCTACTTAAATGTGGAACGGCTCAATGATATAGGTGCCTTTGCCTAAATAAATATATTTTGTTACTAGAGAAAACATTTTGACAGAAATAGCTATGCTTCGTGGAAATTGATGGAGTTTCAATTCATAGACACTGGTTTTTAAGATTGAGGATTGAATGAAAATGAAAAAAAAATTATCCTAATATAATTTAAGTTTTACATTTAAATTTCCATAATGTAAACTATTCGATTTATGACAGATAAAATTCAACAAAAATTTACACATATTACGAACTTTATCATCTTTTTGCTGCCACATGTATAAGTGACCTTCTTCTTTTGATTCAGTAAATTCTAATCTCATTTTAATCATTTCATTTAATGCTCTTATATCATTAGAATATTACTATTTTTACTTTACTACTGATAATTTCTTTTAATGCGCTCATTTAATTAGAATAGTCAACCCGAAATAACGGACCTTCCGCCATTAGGTGCACCCCAATAACCGCTGCGCTAAGTAAATATTTGTTTTAAATTCATTTCTTATTAGTCATCGCCCCTACTTGTCAGGTGAGGTGCGTCATGATGACTTCGACGTATCGTCGGTTTGCCGCAAAAACACCCCACGGTTACGTTTTTTCGGACTTCTACCCAAATGGAAAGGAAGCGGGGTAATGAAGTGATCTCCTTTGATAATTACGCAATGATTGCGGGTTACCTTAAGGGGCCGCTCCGATGGACGGTTCGCGATAATGGCCACGAGCTGGGGGCCAACACCGTTTGCGGATATTATGAAACATCTGCCGACGAGCGGAGTGAGCTATACCCATTAGCGGGAGACATTAGCGAGAAGCACTCATCGCGTTGACGAAGCAAACGACAGATTTCCACGTCGATATGTTTGGATGGCCTACAGTCAAAAAACACTGTTATCGTTTCGCCACATTACTTCGCTTACATACAACGAAGCGATACAAAGAGTTGGTGTAAAAGTGATACGTTCTTTATTGAAAAGAGTCTTTATTTCTGTTTCATTAAGGTACAGGATGGCTACTAAAAGCAAATTCAAACTCATTATGTTTTTTAGGAGATAAGGTGGTTATCAAGCAGGCTGGTCGCGTGATGCTAATTACCGCGCCAGCAATGAAAATACACAGGTTCTGTCGAGCTGTAGCTAAAGTGACCTTGGCCTACTCTTCAACATTGGCAACGCATCAGCATTCCCACCGGCGTTGTGGATTTCCACCGGCTAAGGACAGTTGTAACATTCAGTCAATCGCTAAAACTGTTGAGATGCATGACCTCTTCTAGGGCTCTAAATGTGTGAACTTAAATATGCAACTTTGTTCCAGAGGCAGACCTAAAGTTACACAGATGGAAATATGTAAAGTTGAAAGTTATGGTTTAATGCAAGTTACACGAAGAAGGTCGTTAAGGAAAGCTGAACCAAACACCATGTCAGATTCTTAGTGAGGAAGAAAGAGTGAAAAGGAAGTTTTTAGTTTTTAATTATTTTTTATTCGTGAATATAAATATATACGAGGAAATTCGCCGAAGAACCGGTGTCACCGACATAGCTCTCCGGATCTGCAAGTTGAAGTGGCAGTAGGCAGGCCACATCGCTCGAAGAACTGATGACCGATGGGGAGAAAAGGTTCTCGAGTGGCGACCACGAACCGGAAGACGTAGCGTTGGAAGGCCTCCTTCTAGGTGGACCGACGACATCATAAGAGTCGCGGGGAACCGGTGGATGCAAATGGCAAAGTGTCGTTCGTTGTGGCGTTCTAAGGGGGAGGCCTATGTTCAACAGTGGACGCCTTGCGGCTGATGACGATGATGATGAAATATATATAAATTTCCTGAGGTAAGGTTAGCTAAATATCACGCTACCTTTTCATTTGTGCAGATGTCGCATGTAGTAGCTCTCGGATCCTTTTCTCAAGGGTTCCCCTGTTTAATAGCTTCTCTAACCGACATCGTGTCGTGTGGCATGGTGATGGAAGACCTATCGCGTATTTATGCAATCCGCGTCGGTGCATATTCTAAAGTACAATGTACGCTCGGCAAAGACTGCACTACACGCAGACAGCTTTCGGGTGTTTTAACTGGGTGAATTAACAGTAGCAGACATTTGATCCTCACCATATTAAATATCAATCTGTGGCCGCCAATTTCGAGTTGGACCTCTCTTAAAGACGCTCGATTGTTACGTTTTTTATTAGAGAAAATATAATTTTTGGGTAAGAAATTGAAACTACTAGAAATATGCCTGGCTTTAAAGACGATTCTGCAAAAGATATTAAAAATTGGAACAACAGATTAATTTAGCTTTAAATTAAACTGAACTTAATAAGTTTAGTTTTATTACTGCCAATATTTTTTCTACATAGTAGATTTATTTTATCTTGAATTACTGTTACACATAACTCAAACTGGGCACAAATCGGAATCTAAAAAATATATAAGTTACGTGGCTTTTGATTTTCAAAGTTATTAAATAACATAACCGTAATATCTGCAGGCAGAAATACAATCAGATATTGGAATGAGGAAGGCGATCTAATATAGACAGGGAAGATTAAAACGGCGGTACAAGAATGAGGCCCTGAGGAAAAAGAAACTTCTATTTCGAACAAACTTCATTTTAACGGAAAAGGCAACTGGAAAACAAGCAATGGAATTATGGATGGTAATTAGTGTAAGGGAGGTAAACCGTGTTATGCTATATGCTATTAAAAATGCCCTGCCAGCTTTTGAGAAGTAAAAGGAAAAATCTTGCTCGTAGGCAGAGATAACTTTCGCGGCCCCTCTGTAGCGTGATCCATGATCTATGCCGCTTGTAGCTTGTATTGCGTCCGAGTGGCTATTGTTGCACAATTAGCCCTGTTTATAGCTGAATTGCGATTATAAATTGCTGATTATCGAGACCGGTCGCCCTTTAGAGCCGGATGGAGAAATAGCGGTAAAAAGCTTAAGGAATCAAGCTTAGGGTTTATGGAGAATTGCGTTGTATATCTATTCGTCTCACTCAGACGCATCGATTACAACTTACGGCCGATTACAATATACAATATACAGATAGATTTGGTTACTAGCGATAGATACTAGCTCCATCATACTTACGTCCAAATTCTATCTTCAGTAACCAAATCTATCTGTAGATTGTATAATGAAACTGGCCGTTAGTGAATTAAAATTCCTTAATCTGTCAAGTGTTCTTACTAATGAGTATTTAGACTGAACTTTGCAAAGTAATTTAAAGTGATTTAAATGTAAATTTAAAATCGAAACGCCTTAGTAATATGAACACAATTTTTGCTTCCAACGTTAGTCCACAACAAAAATCAGAAACGTCAAAAATATTATAACGAAAGAAATCAAGACATTTTGCGTAGATCAGATTAGAGATAATTGTGGGTAGGGTGACTAGGATAGTATTAGAAGGTGAGAAAATGGATAAATATTTTGGCGGCTACCTAAAAAGGGGAATAGAATTAAAAGATTTTTCGTTCCGAAATTTTTGTGGGTAATGTTGATGATAAAGGTTGTGCTAGACTTGAAGAGTTGCGAACTTATTGATTGTTCAAGGAAAACAAATCACCTGTCTGACGTTTGAAGTTGTCGTGTCGTGACATTTGGTAAAATTATTTGAAAAGCTTGAAATCTAAAATTAAAAAAAAATTCAAGAGTTCTTGTATATATCTAACAATTATAACTTGTATATATTAAGAAATCTTATATGTTAATGAAGCAAAAGCTCTGGACCCCTTTATACGAGAATTGGGCGGACGGAGGAGTATGAAATTTTCCACACTTATAGCTTACTAGCGACCCGCCCCGGTTTCGCACGGGCTTAATGTATTATACATATAAACCTTCTAGTATATCTAGTAAACCGCATCAAGATCCATTGCGTAGTTTTAAAGATCTAAGCATACATAGGGACAGGCAGACAGCGGGACGACTTTGTTTGATACTTTGTAGTTTATACAGGGAAGGAGTGTAGATTGCTTATATTTTTTTTTATAAATTATGCATAAAAATACATTAAATCAATATAGAAAACATTACACACACTTCTATATATTTGCCGCGCACACGCATATCTATATGCTCTTTTGTTTAATATATATTGTATTTGAGAATAGATTAATTTTGTTAAAACTTATAATTTAAATTGATTATGGCCCAATTTCGACCACTCGACGTCCAATGGTTACTGCTATTCGGCGTGGTACTCTACCCTAGTAGCTTAGTAGCTATAGTTAGCTTAGTAGTTATACTTGCATACGAGGCACGCTGCGTGCAATCGTTTCGTCGGCGATTTCATGACATGTTTTTTAACAACACCAACTACTCTCAACGGAGTGTCGCCTTTCTCGGCGCTGACCGTCAGGGCTGCTCAACGAATTTATTCTATCGATGCTGTTTTTTACCACTGGGCACTTCGGAGAATGTTTTTCGTAATTTTGACCCAGTTGCGGGAGTGAAATAGAGGGGATAGTTAAATTTTAATGCATTTTGTTTTTCATGTTTAATTAATTAGTTTTGTTTGTTTTATTGAATCTGAATATTTTCGAAATAATAACAAAATAAAATATTTCGACATTAAGTAAAGTCCACCAATCCGTAGTGGGGTCGCGTGGTGGTCTACGCCCTAATGCCCTCTGTACGGAGTGGGACTTTGCCCAGCAGTGGGACATGTAAAGGCTGTAACTTATTAACATTTTTGAATTGTGTTGTGGCAGGGCCACGCAGCAGATCTGTTGCACGTAGGGGCTGGTACGCTCGTGGAAGTGCCAGTGCTGCACAGAAGACCAGTGTGAAGTTGACGTATTATGCGATTTGCCTGGTGAATGACACAGGGTCGAATTTTAAAAGGTGACGACGCATTTGCAAGCACACTGGCTTTGCGGATGTTCACGGACGGCGGATATCACTGAACATCGGGTGAACCATCAGCTTCGCTACCTTCTCACGCATAAAAATAACATATTTTCCATATTCATATTTAAAAATACATTATTTATACGTTTATGAAAAAATTCACAGACAAAAAGTATAGCACGCAAATTAAACTATTAACTTAAACTCACAAACTCACAACCCTGCTGCAGACGGAGCTGTTGACATGTCTTTTAAACTGTGTAAATACGCCGCGGCTCGGGTTACGGTGTCGATTTTAAAACAATATTCGTCCCGTTTTCCGCGTCCCGGGCAGATCCCGCGTTCCCGGCAGGCGCCCGCCCGCAAACACTAACACACACACACACGCAAACACCAACAGGACACCGCAAACAAACCTTCTACAACAGCGTAAACAACGAGTGTTGAGCTAATAAGGTCACTTACGACACTAACGCGCGGTTCCTGAAAGACCGATCAACGTAGATATTTGAAAAAAAATAACAATTTGATTTGAAATTAAATTTTTTTTATAGTGCTAATCTTGGCACTTAAGTTTTTAAACTTTTTCTACATATTTTAATTTGATTTGAAATCTAGTGTTAAACCATCCTTTTAGCAACTCAAATGATATTTAACAAGCCATTGAACAACCGATTAGATAATTTCTACGTTGACCATTATTTCAGAAGCCGGGTGTAAGACATGAAAATAAAACATTTCTGTAGGTTTGCAGTTCTATTAGTATTATTACATTTTTTAAAGATATTTTATTGCTAAAAGCAACGACGAGACGCGCATTATTTTATTTGTTTATTAAAATAATCAAGGTTTCACATAGTAATATTATAAAAAATAATTATTAAATCAGTAGTCAATGTCGATAATAATTGATAACTAAATGCCACAAGATAAGTAATGAATAAAAATATTTGTTTTAATAAATAGTAACAAAAGTATTTTAAACTAATTCTATACATCAAGGGCTATCTCTACATTTACCATTAAAGTGTTGCAGTCGAGAAGTAGTCAGTTTGTCCTACTATCGCACAGTCATCATTGCAATTTGTTAATAATCTGTTGTCCACTACACGATTATTTATTAATTATCTGTCGCGTATCGGAGCGCGGTGTCGCGCGCGAAACCGCCAGAGGCCGCGTCGCCGTGGACCTCGTAAATAAGCGGCGATTGCGCTATTAAGCGGACAGGTGGCCGCTGCAAAAACGCCACAAAAACGCCGCGCGAACGCCGCCGAGCCGCGGAAAAACAATCAAAGGGCGCCGCGAGAGCGCGACCTGCTGATAGTAGGGGGACCATGTGCTTTTGAACCTACTTCAAAAACGGAGAGGTCCTCAATTCGACTCTATTTTTGAAGTATAACTTCTTTAGGCGCGACTAGGGAGTAACTCAGATTTTTTCTGACGGAAGTAATGCTTTTTCTGACGTTACTAAATATTTAATCATTTCAATCAACGCCAAAGAAGTTTTACTTCAATCGCGCGTAAAGGTTACACGCACACACATTTTTTTTTTAAGTTTGTTACCTCAGAACTTTCGACTGGGTGAACAGAATTTGATGATCCATTTTACTTGAAAGCTGGTCTTTCCCATGTGGTCCCTTATTAATTTCATTGGTGTTGGATCTTGGGCTCCGGAGATTCGTAGGGAACTGTTAAAAATCAATTATAAAATGAATAAAGGGCGAGATATTTGAAGTGGGTTTTGTTTTTCGCTAATAACATTTTTTTATTTAAATGTTTCAAGACGTTATCTAGTTCCAATTTAAACAAAGCTTGTTCTATGGATACTAGGTAACTGGTCAACAGATTTAAGCTTAGTTTTCTTTTGTAATCAAATTCATATAACAGCGTGTCGTTACCATCGCGACAATAAATGATTACACATATAGGGGATAACTTTTTAAAGTTGTATTAAACATTTAAATTCTTTAAACATCAATATTTACAGAGTTATTAAATTTTCCAAAACAAAGAATTTTAGAACACCCTTACCTATAAAGCGTAACGTAAAGTTCATTTGTAAAGGTCACAAAGCATATGAATGGGTTGAATGAATTTAAAAGAGACAAAACATACTGTTAGAAGGAGAGGCTTGTAATACGACGCTGTGGCGCGAGTTGTATAGGGTGTTACAAATTTTGTTTCTTTTTTACTTAATTAGTTTGTTTGAAAAATATTTTTTTTTAATTATGGATTTTGTTTTACGTTAATTTTTTTTATGATTATTGGCACGTAGCTTTAGACGTGTGTTCATTTATTGTCGCGATGGTAACGACACGCTGTAATAGATAGGTATATAAACACCTAGACACTCGATTAACAATACGTTCCCAGTAGTGGGGATCGAGCCCACACTCTCAGGCACGGACAGAATGAACCTATTTGTCATTCTTGTGAACCTGCAAGTCTCTCGCGAAGATTTGGGCAACATTGTGTGGAGTAGCATTCGAGAAGCCACGGATGACTCAAAAATCAAACTTTGACTGGGTTTACTTTCTGGTTTGATGGTTTAACGTTATCATTATTCAATATTTTATATCCGTTAAATAAAATAGACTTACCTGTCTAAGGGATTTAAGTTATGAGTAAAAATCTGTGATAAATCTATCGTAATTTCTTCATAATTTGCTACTTGCGGAATCTTACAATCGTATTCAAATTTATTTTTTTAATTTGGCAAACGCCGAAAATTAAATATTGCTCTTGTCCCATTTTTCATTATTGTTAGTTGGTCAGAGCAGTAAAGCCACTCCTCAAGCGATTACCGCCCGCCACCCGCACCGCGAGGAAACTCATTTTCCAACGACGACTCAACCTCCGCGCTTATTACACCCTAACACAAGTTTGTTTCGTGCAATATTTTATTCATTCGACGTAAAGCACTAGCCATAGAGGTTATTTTCGCATATTTTTTTATTTCGGCAAACGTAATTGGGTCTTGCAATTTGGCGTTGCGACAAACTAGTGAGTTGCTATTATCGTAACAGATCTTAGCGGTATTCCGCCGGGATAGAGCTCTTAATCGCTTGCGTCGCTCTTTCAAAAGAGAAAAGGTACGGTATTATAATTCTAGGCCGCGAATCACCCGTCAATCACGTTGCGATATGAGCGCTGACAAAGGAAAAATCCTTTTGCGAGCGCGCAACCGTTCGCGGTGATCAAAGAAGGCGCGGTGACACCTCGAATAAACTCCCGTTGAGCTCATTCCGCCTTTGCCGCGCAATCTGCGACGCGTTCCTAATGTTTGAATTTGGAATTTGGCACGTATCGATTTTTTTGACGTTTCAGTGGCGTTTGATCGTTTTCTTTTTCTTTTTTGATTTAACGCCTTGTTCATCGTCACCTTATTTCCAGACTTGCCCCGTTTTATACTTGTTGCTGATAGGCGAACATGATAAAGAAATAGTTTATCGATGCTCTTCTTGTAAATATCAGCTGGACGGGCGGCAACAAACTCTTCAAAGGCATTTTGTACTAACGCTCGGGTATTGAATTTCAAGCCGCTAAAAAGTTGTGCAAAATTTGGAAAATTAATAGTCGGTAGGTGCAGGGTCTGGTGAGTATGCTGGATGAGGGAGAGTTTCCAACTCCAACTCTTGCCGCTTGGAGACTGTCTGTTCCCCATATTGCACTATGGGGTCGCGCATTCGACCGATTGCCCAAAGCTCGTTGCAGATGTGTGAGCTTGTCCATCATTGTCTTCAGGTATTCACAGTACAATGCTTGCAGTAGTGAATTGGTGACGAAGTTTGATATTCATAATGTACACGTAAGCCTAAATTGAATAAAAAAAATACAGACTTTTTTTGAACTCGTGACTAATATCGTGATATTCGTTTTTGTGGGAGAAGATGTCAAACGATCAGGTGATTATTATGATGTTACATAATCTGATCATGAACAATAATATAGAGAGGCGACCCCCGGTTACCTTGCTCAATACATGGAATACTAATATAAGAATAGAGCGACCTGCCGATAAGCGTCTTTTCGTAAGATAACAACGTCTTCAAGGCAAGATTAGAGCGCGTTTAGCATCTTCAGCAAAATCGCCAGATAAGATAAAGTATTTGTACGCCAAGAAGCATCCCCGAATCCCCACAGAATCTGCCCATTAGTGCAACATCAAAAGCTGCCTGGCTCTACCACATTAAAAATGAGCACTTTATTGACAGTTATCGCTGTCAATCTTCCATCATAACTGCACGGGTTGCGATTCGCTCGCGCCGCACTAGTGCGCGGCATTCGCGTAATGGCCGCTTCCCGCCAAAAGCGACACCGCGTACGTCGTAAAATTTGATGGTTCGCTCCCGTCCGAGCGCGTCTTAATCGTTTATTAATTGACGAACTGCATTTCACGGGCGCGTCGTCTCGCGACCGACAAACGGCTAATTGATCGGGCCGCGCGGAAGCGACGAGTGTCACCGTCTGAATGCCCCCCCAAATGAGCGTATAATGGCCCGGGGCCCGTCATAAAAGGCCCCATTGTGAGCGCGAAACGAGACGACGGGCCGAATTGTGCTAAATCAAAGGCGGCCCCGATTTGTATGCGCCGACGGATGAATATGATCCGCGAGTCGGTAGTCGAAATTAGTAGGAATTGGTAGGTCGGCCATTGTGACCGCGCCGCGCCGCTTTGGCGCGTTGCGCGCCTTTTTTGCGGGGATGCACTTCTCGAGTGTTCCGCGGAATGCAGCGTACGCGGTTCCGTTGTTGTGTTTTGCGTGTGAAACGTCTCGAGTTGCATTCCTTTTTGACCCTTTTTATATTATACCGTACTATTTATGAAATGAATACAAACGGTTTAAGCTTGTTTCAATACGGAAGTAAACTGATAAATTAATAATTTCCAAAAACCGTTCAATCTTTAATCTTATTATGAAAATTTAAGTGTTTGTTTAATAGTAGAATTCATTACTTTAAATATATAAAAAGTAATCATTACTATAAATAATAAACTAACTAACCTATTTTCTATAAATTTTAATAACCTATTTTATTATATTTTGTTATTGAATCGTCCAGCATGAAATAAGGGTTGACAAATACGAGTATGTACATATTTGTTATATTTTTTTGCTGCTATTAGTTTTAGTAGTTAACTTATTCTTGGCGCAAGTATACATGACATGTTCAAAAGGTCCTTAAGTGAGTTGTTGCCCTCAGTAACGTAGTCCTAATGGACTTACAAATAAGATGAAAAGGATTTCATAAAAAATTAATTCGAAAGTTCGAGGTATCTTAAATTATATGAAACTTAGTATCATATATTAACTTTAGTCGAATAACAACACTGAATATAAAAAAAAACAATACAATGGAAAGAGAAGTTAGAACAATACACACTGAAAATATAATATACAGGATCTCTTTACTATATTTATCCTCTTGTTTTTTTCTTGGAAATATGTAAGTCATACCTACATATTACTACCAACTTCTATTAACTTTGTCCATATTGTTTTTTCCATCTGTCTAAAATGAATTGAAATGAATTAATATTTGCACGCGTGTCAATAAACGCCTGTCAGTAAAGAGGCAGAATAAGTGAATAGTAAATTGTATATGAGATTTTAAACCATTATTCTCGAAAATAATGAATAAATAAATACTTAAGTTTGAGTCTCATTATACAGCGTGTCGTTATCATCGCGACAATAAATGAACACACATATAGGGGATAACTTTTAAAAGTTGTATTAAACATTTAAATTCTTTAAACATCAATATTTACAGAGTTACTAAATTTTCCACAATAAAGAATTTTAGAACACCCTTACCTATAAAAGCGTAACGTAAAGTTCATTTGTAAAGACCACAAAGCATATGAATGGGTTGAATGAATTTAAAAGAGATAAAACATACTGTTAGAAGGAGAGGCTTGTAATACGACGCTGTGGCGCGAGTTGTATAGGATGTTACAAATTTTGTTTCTTTTTGACTTAATTAGTTTGTTTGAAAAATATTTTTTCTAAATTATGGATTTTGTTTAACATTAATATTTTTTTATGATTATTGGCAAGTTGCGTTAGACGTGTCTTCATTTATTGTCGCGATTGTAACGACACGCTGTATACAATCTAAGAAAAGGGAATGGAAATTAAGATTATTACGGGACATGGAAACTAAGATAAATTATAAAAGCGTCGGTCCTAAGTAGGATCCTTTGGATACGCCATTACATATAACAGGAATGGTTAAGGAAATTTGCCGTAATGATTGAAACCGGTGGCAGTGGCTTCAGCAGTAGGGTATCATTGCGCGGCGGGGGAGAATGTTAACTGAATAATGTTGAACCGTTGAGGGTGGCACGTGGCACGTCATCAGACGCCTTTGTGTTTGTAGAGTTAGGGGGTTGGTGTGACGAGCCGCGCTGCGAAGCGCTCGCTGATTTCGAAAACGTTTCAAATGTTAGTCACCTTTATGGTACAGTATTCCCATTTAAGAAATTTAAAAGTTCAAAACACACAGTAAATTTTAGGCGATCCAAATTAGCTGGCCTTTTCCAGGTGATACGCTTAATGTGATGTGGTTAGACCGTTCACTTCTCGAATGATAGAAACTGGCTTGTTGATAATTGATAACAAGGCAATTCTTCATTGGATCTAAGTAAAAATTATTTGTCTGTTTCTAAAAGATGTCATCGATACAATGATACGATAAAGTTCGGTGAACACCCATAAAAGCCGTTTTGCCCCGTTCGCCCCCTCGCTACCTCCCGTCAGGCCCTCGTGTAATTGTCAAATTAGCGAGTCGCGTAGATCAAAGGATTCGACGATTTGTTGCATTTTGATAATGTGATAAGTTTTGCGCTCGATTACACGGTGTTGCACGCTTCAAGTTGCAGCGGGTGCATAAGCGGTAGCGGGAAGTAAACTTTTATAAATTTGTGCAGCCTTAACACAGAAGCAGAAGTCATGATAATTATTACTAGTCATTTGTTGTCTTGTTGGTTACTTATTCTGAGGCTAACTTTAATGGCTACTTAATAGCTCTAGTTTATACATTTATACAATATTTATTTTAAAAAGAAATAAAATACGTTCTATAAAACGTACCTACCATGATTTCAAAACAGCTTTCATTTTATATGGGATAGAATTTCAATTAAAGAGAACACTAGAAAAATTTATAATAATTATTATAAAATCTAGATAAATAAAAAAAAATATTTGTTTAAAAGTGTGAGCCTTGGGATTGTCATTAATAATTATTGAATGATTAAAAATTTTACTCAAGGTGAAGACTGCCCAAGGTGATATCGAAACGTTTTTATAATGTCCAAGGCTCCGCTGACATTCCAGACACGACTGAGTCGATTTTCGTCGATTACATCCCTTCAATAAGGGTTCACAAAGCGGGGGCCAGTAATTGTATTCAGATACGAACGGTTGTGATAACGGATTGAGGGAAACGCAGAAAAGAATACTTTTTGTGACCATTTGAAATTGTTCCTTCAATCGGAATATCTATCTGATTTTAGTAGGTTGGGGCACGCAGAATCTCATGTTGTCGTACCAATATGCAGGCTCGACCGGAGAGTACCACGGCCACATAGAAGACCAGCGTTTAGTGGAAGTATTATACTTTTGTATTTCGACTGGTCGCCTGGTGAGTAATTTTCGAGGTTCAGGCTAGGCGCCTCCAGCGCCCTGCCACCTCAAGTCCGGTGGAACTGTAAAGGCCAACAGTGGCTCATCAAGCCAAAAAAAAATGGTGAGTAATAACCGGGTTCATCTGTTTATAAGAATAATCATTTGACAAGATTAATCTTTAAATATCAGGATAACTGCCTGCTCTTTTGTAAATTTTTCACATTGAAAAGATCGTCTCGCCACTGCACTTCGCTGGCGAAATTTGATGAGGAACGAATGACGAAGCATTCAGTTCACGTATTAAGTGCACAGCTTGGAAATGTTGGTTTGCACATTTTGGATGTAGGAGAAGTTTGGCAATCCATTTTGAAGAGAAATCCTCGACCACTGCCAGAACATTATTCAAAACTTTCGGAAATTAAAGAAAACAACAAATCTTTTAATTATTTTTATCGTTATGAAGTGGACGGAGGTAAATGATTGATGTTCATGTTTCTTTTTTAACCCTTAGTTTAGGATAACATTATTCTGTGTTGTAAAGACGTTTTATAAACATAAATTTCATGCGGACAAACACCCAGATGCGAAACAACTATTTGTGGGTCACATAAATAGTTGTCCCGTGTGGGAATCGAACCCACGACCCCCGACGCCGAAGCCAATAACTTGGCAACAGCGCCACGGAGTCGTGTTTCAATGAGCTCTTTATATTACTATACTGTGATCTCTCTGACTCCAGGCAGCCAACTTCAGAAAGCCACTACTATCAGAAAATTGACCAAGTGTTGTTCTCGACCTCAGATTGAAAGTCCTAGTTGTTACGGTATTGTTATTGTATTTCCAAAGCATTGAGGATTGAAATACCAATATAACTTTAGGTTGAATTGGCCAAGTGTTGTCACAAGTAAAATATTGCAGATACAGGTAAACTGTCGTTCAAAAAGTAAACTTTCAACATGTAATAGAATTAGAGGTAAATTATTAATAGAGATCGAGGCGGATTGCACCTAGACGAAGGGTTGCAAAAAGATACGTCGCCTTTTCAACTCACGAGGTCACCGATCGGGCGCCTCGTTAACGTTACAATAGTTTTGTCAAGGTCCCTAATCGACGGTGCGTCCGACAGGGTCCAATTATCCCTTATTATCCGTCGACGATGACGGTGCTGTTAGAGCTCCATGTGTCGGTACTCGCTTCACACGCCACGAACGGGAATGTTTATTCGGCCGGCGCAAAGGCTCGGCCACAATGGGCATCGAAAGCGGGCGGGGAACGGAAGCGCGTCAAATTGTTTTCTAAAAACACAGCAACGGTCGTTAGGAGGCGGCCTTTGACGTGCGCACAATGGGCCGCGACTACCGGCCGCGCTCGCCCATTCAATGCGCGTTGTTCCTCGCGGCGGCGCGGCGGGCGACGCTGCGTTTGCGCGGGAAACGGCAGGGCTGCCACTTTCTCCGCTTACCAAGTTCTCGATACGCCCTTTTCGCGCCATCTTGGAAGAAAATTGAAGTCTTTATAATGATAGAATCATCTGTTTGCCGGTTTAAGATGGTAAGGGCTTACCGCTTGGGTATATTAAATAAAGAGCTGGTATCGTTTTTTTAAAGCAATTGTCTAATTTAAATTACGTAGCTTAAACTTTTTCTTTAAGAATTTAAATTGATAGGAATTAATATTGTAGTTCAATTTTAACAAGTTTTCTTACGCTTGGCTATGAAACATCCCGAAAAGTGTTTGAAAATGTATTTTAAACATCGGTTAAATCTTAAAATATGTAGAAAAATCGTCGGTTAAATCGTTTACTCGTTTAATCAATTCAACATACAAAACGGAGAACAAGAGGACTTTCAACACAATACGACATAATTTTTTTATTTATTCTTTATTACATGAATAGTAAACATTTGAAAAAATGCAAATAAGATAATTAAATAAACATTTTAAATATAATTGATAACGATTTCATTAAAAAGTACTTATGATCTATTTTAAATAACGTTGGTTGCTTTGCAACCAACTTCATCGCGTCGTTTATTGAGGGTCGGTGTGGACGCGTATCGTAAAAATTTTACTCTCATTTTTTTCGCCAAGAAAATAACTTCCAAAAAATTAAAAGGGAGGAAAAATTTAAGAAAAGGTATGAATAAAATTAGGTGAGCGTTGCAATGCTGAGTTGACGGGGTCAGCTGCTCAGCATATTGCTGATAAGTCTATTGGAGACACCAGCGTTGGACTGCAGAAAACCGTGTGAGTATTAGTGTGTCGTATATTTAAAAAGTCGGCCATCATTTATCGGGATAGCTTACTATCCCGCGCGTCATTAAATATTGTCATTGAGGGGAACAACTCAAAAATTCTTACTTCGTGTTTAAATGTATATAATGAAAGTGCTAATTGGAACCCTTCGCCAACCCTACTTAATCACGTGTCAGTCTCGTTTCGTTGGCTACTCTTTAACGGGCGGAGAAACTGATTTCGGTTAATCTGTTGAACTTTGATCCATCTTTTCTTTTTTAGAAAAATATTTATATTCAAATTAATCTCTCCTCGTCTCAGCTGGGTGATCAGGGACTTTTGTTAATTTCACCAGAGCTTCTGCGGACGCTCAGTCCGACGTTTTATCATAGTTACAAAAGTAGTTTCATGCCCGCAGCGGTGATTTACTAGTGGTTGAGACGTCAGACTTGCGTTGTTTAGTTTGTTGGTTCGAATATGTAATGCAACGAAGTACCAGGGCCGTGTACTTATCAAGTTTTTCTTTTTTTTTTCACTTAAGATTTTCGGTGTAAAACAACTGTCCGAAAATTGTCTTATATGCGGCGACAAGGTTCTATAGTTGTCATCTTTGGCACTGTATGTGCTTGATTAGACTCTAGTAGTATTAGGTACCACTTACTGCCCTGTAGGGTTTCTTAGACTTTAGAGTGTATTAATTTTTCTATTTACACGTGTTATATGATGCAACGAAGTACTTTATTGTTTCATCGGCCTTCCATTGTTATTCAAATGTTCTGCTTTAAATTCCATCAACATACAAACTGGCACTAATTTTTTACCTTAACGGGGTAGACGCAGGGGTAGACCAGGTCAAAGCTATTTACTATATTTAAATTACATAAACCAAGACTCCAAAATGTCTGTTTCTATTTCTATTAAAAAAAGAGCAACTGTTGAGTTTCTAATCGGTTTCTTCTCAACAGAAACCGCTTCCCGAGCCGGTGTTAGCTTACTTTCGAACGTATTAATTTTTGTGTAAAATGTTGACGTTTCATAAGAACGCGCAAGCGTCTATGTGAATAAATAAATTTTTGATTTTGATTTTTTTTTATTATTCCAGCTTTGTCGCTTGAACGCGGCCTGGAATTTACTTATTACGCTCGTTTTAAATTGTTTCTCACACTTTGTGCACTAACGCATATACTTTTGATCAATAAATCCATAGTCTGTATTAAATAAAGGGACTTTAAAATGGTTACAACGATATATTGTCATGTATCTACTTTAGCAAATATACAATTAAATGTATCAAGTATGTATTTACATTATACGTATATCATAAGTAGTTAATATGCCTTGAAAATTAGCGAGTCAATCTTCATACTTTAAAGTACTCAAACCAGATTTTGATGGAATTTAAGGGTATAAACAGACAGGACGCTCACTTGATGGAAAGTGATCACCACCGGCCATGAAAATCTGCAACACCGGAGGACTTGCGTTTCTGGCCTTTCAGGTAAGAATTAAAAAAAAAAGATTTACTGCAGGGTTTTTAAAAAGATTTACTTTAAAAATAAGGGAAAAAACACAGGTGACAGATGTATTACAAAAAATAAGAAAACTTAAATGGAACTGGACTGGTCATATAATGAGAACGGTCAGGGGAAAATGGACAAAAGAAGTAATAGAATGGTACCCTAGAAATGGAAAAAGACAAAAAGGACGGTAAATCAAAAGATGGGAGGATGATTTACCTAAAGGATGGCGGCAGGCAGGTCGTGACAGAGATAAGTGGAGGGAATTGGGGGAGGCCTATATCAAAAGACAACCTGACCAACTGTGTGGTTGCTGAAATATTTTATGTAACTTTAATTTAAGATTTTAAAAATGTTGTTTTTATAAGTAGGTTGTAAGTTAAAACTGTAAGATGGTCAGAGAATAAAGGCTATTATTATTATTATTATTATACTAAAATATGTATGATACAACTATTGGCGTCACGGAGATTACAAACCTCTCAATGATTCAATCGTGGTGTTACTCACAGTAATTTGACCGCATATTGGAATCAATGTTTTGTCATGATCAGGACGCCTTGTTCAAGGCTAATCATTCTAGACAAGTTAACATAACAGTCGTACGTTTTGATAGCTGAGTGTCTGGGCGCTCGCTTTAAATCAAATATACCCGAGCAACTTGGTCTCAAATGCTGGCACCAATCTAATTGTCAATTGCAACTTTGAGTGCTGACCCTGCAGCGGAGGAATACATCCTCAGGAAATCTGCAGTTGTTTAGAAATAGTAATGAAAAAAGGACTTCTCGTGGGATCATCGCGACCCCGGGGACCCGCCATTGGTGCGGCCCGTCAATTGCCGCATCCTGCTCCGCAATGAGGATGCCACTATCACGGTGATTGGCGGATGCGCCCGCCACGCCCGGCCGCAACTCGACCGCCAATCTTTATTTGCCACACCGTGCATCCGTCCTCTAAAGGCGTGTTCCCACTTTCGATGGGAAGTTGGACCTGCACATGAGCTACCAGCCACAAAAGCTTTCTGCATACTAGCGATTACGTGGCGCTGTTGCTGGTCCAAAATCAAAAATATATTTATTCACATAGACGCTTGCGCGTTCTTATGAAATGTCAAAATTTTACATAAAAATTAATACGTTCGTAAGTTACCACCGGTTTGGAAAGCAGTTTCTGTTGAGAAGAAACCGGCAAGAAACTCAACAGTTGCTCTTTTTTAAAACGATTAGTTTACAGTATAATAGAACAAGTATGTCACTTTAGCCTACGTGAGTATCAACAGTATTAACCCCACACATTGGCGTGGGTTGGTAAAGGAACTTGCGCTGTTGTAAGAAAGGATTCTTACAACAGTGCAAGTTCCTTTCAACAGAACAAAATCTTTATTACGATTACGATTTTGTTGTGATGTTATCACACCAGGCGGCCTTCGGAGTGCTGTGAGCAAAAGGATTAAGGAAAAAAATTATGAATCGTCAGAACGTCAGTAGCCAACGAATTTTATGGTAAAATCTTTTAATTAGTTTTTGGTACCTTCCCCGCTCCGCAATCTCTGCTTTTAGTCGCTTCAGGTAACTGCTAAAAGGAAGATCTGTAAAATTAAAACATGTAGAAAAATTAAAACATGTAGAAAAAGTACGAAAAGATTGTCGCCGCTGTGGGAATCGAACCCACGTCTTCGGCATTCGCGGCCTGACGCTCTAGCCACTGAGCTAAACGGCTGATATCCACAGCGACGAAAATCTTAAGGCCTTCTTTCTATAGCTAGATATAGATTAGCACTTTAAAAAAAAAAAAAAAAAAAACTTTAGGAAGATCTGTAATAGAAAAAGCTGATATTTTAATTGCATCTGATGATCTCGAACATTAGGAACAGTGTTTCCTATTTTGTTAAAACTAGCGATCCTGACAGACGATGTTTTGTATACGTCTTAAATCCTAAAAATTCCTCCGATCCGAAAGATTTAATTTTTTTTTCAATAAGTTTATGTATCTAAACCATGCTCGAGTCGACCTGAAGACAGACCCAAAATTTCATTAAAATCGGTCCAGCCGTTTAGGAGGAGTTCGGTGACATACACTCGTACAGAAGAATTATATAACATGTGAAGATTTTCCGCGCAACCGTTTGAACAAGTCAATAATTTAAAAAGAAACAGACTAAAAAATACAACTCTGGTACGAAAAAAGTTTCGTTGCTATTTTTCGGGAGATTAAATTTTAATTAAATTTATTTTTATCTATCCAGTGACAGAATCGCAATAAAACCGAACCAAACGACATATCAGTCATCAAAAACGGGTCAGCCGTACTTACGCGTACAGGTCAAACCTTTTTGGCTTCAACATCGTCGGGTTTTGACCAAAAAGTCATTAGTTTTGAACATCGTATCATAAAATAATAAATATCTTATTTGCAAAAACAATTCATTAGACATAAGTCGTAAAGTCTATTATTTTATCAGGATGTTTACTCCACCGTAATAATAAAAGGTACAGCTAAAACGTATAAATAGGTATCAAGTTGTTAGCCGGCTGTTCTGTATAAATATTATTTCTTTACTGAGTCGTAACATTCGGGCGGCCGAGACAGAATTATTTTAAAAGAAAGAAAAACAATTTAAGCTGACAGAAGCTCATTGAGCAGCGAAACGTATTCAAATATCGAAAATTGTTGACAAATTAAGTTCCCTATCCGAACTGGAATTCCCTTACCACTTGAGAGGGTAACTCTCCAAAATTGTACTCGCCGGCCATTTGCGTTCTTCACTTTACCGACGCTAAGAAGGATCATGTACGCTTGCTAGAAGGTCGAAAATGGAATGGTTTAATTTATTATAGGTGCAACTAGAAACTTGCCGTGTTACGCGAAGGGACGGGACAGAGACGTTCGTTTTACTAGTTACTCAATTAGGCCCTTTGTATTTGTTTATCTGAGTTTGTATAGCATCGGAGAGGGACGGAGCTATGGGCGGACGGGGACGAGCAAGGGACAGACGATGTAAAGTAATTTGAGACAGTTCTTTTCACTGGCGCGGTAATACGTTCCTATTTTGAATAGCAACACGAAACTGGCGGGAAATGCATTTACGGCCTTCTTTTTTTTCTCTTTTCCAATTCGTGTAATGGCCGTCGTCGATTTTCTTTGATACGTTACGTTCCGGAAAGTTAATTTTAGTAAAGGTTTTAAATGAAGTAACAAAGTGAATGTTAGTTACTGCACCATTTTATCTTTTAATAAAACCCTATTTAAGTACTATATGTCTTATTATTTTATTAAATCTACTTTATTATTCACGGGCAAATAAAAAAATACTTTTTACAATCCGTAAGCAGTTTTATATTGTTTAGTTACTATGTACTATTTAGTCGCACTAAATATAGATGTGTTTTTATGTATGTGCTGCGCAGTGCGCTGGTAGCTGAACTGTTACTGATAGGTGAAAGCGATCAAAATGGCAACGTCAACTGCCATTGCGCGCTGGGTTCGATCCCGTGAGGGGATTTTTTGTGACATATACCTATAAACAAATAACTACTACTAAACAAATGTTTTTCGTGTCTGTCTCCCGTGACACCGTACACTGGCTTGGGATTAGAGCATGCATCGTCAACTACCTTGATGCTCCGATCCGTAAGAAAACTGATCATCCAATTGCATTTTTTTTTCTTAGTTATTGTTACATAGAAGTGTAATCGTTGTTTTAGTACTAATAATTATTACCTTCCATATTTCCATCTGAAGGAGATTATGTCATAGATGCAAGAAAAAACTTCTACGTAATTTGGTTGAAATGTAATTAAAAAAATATTGTTCTTTTTGAACTCCTAATAAATCGATGTTTGCCCTATAGATGATTAAAACTCATACGATAAAACCTTATTATCTTTAGTTGTAAACCGTGCTTTTAGTGTAAAGTTTTAATGAATTCAAAGGGTCCGCTTGCCGATATTAAATCTGTATCAAACTTTCAACTTGCAAATCAGTCGACGGTGTGCAAAAAGGCGTCCGTATACGAGACCGATTGGGCGGAAAATAACATTAATTCCGTCGGGCGCGATCGTTTATATTCACGTCATAGGCGCACCGTGATGTGAGTTGGTTGATTCGTGCGTACCCTCGCCCCCTGTCGGCCGAATATCGCGACACCGGCACGGCACCGAACGCCGATGGCGCATGAAATATCCACGATTCAAACAAACACGGATGACGTTATGCAGTCGAAAGCCCGCCTACGTCGATGCTTATTGAGTGTGCATAAAAAATCGAATTTCATAGGATGCGAAATGTTTCTTATATTCTCTATATCGGCTATTGTTTTAGGTGTGAGAGGTCTTATGTAATTCGGTCGGTATACATCGACGAGGTTGTCAATTCACGCATCATCTGAAGTTGTTGTGACCGGCCATAAGGAAAATTAAAAGATAGAGAAAAGCCATATATTTTGCTCAGAGCGTTTTATAACTTCATCTAAGGAAACTTTTGCCAGTCATTTTATGATGCTCATTCGACATTTAAACATAAAATATGAATCGATCCTCGTTCTATCTCTTGCATAATCCGCCCCCTGTGCACAATGCGCCCCCGGGAAGGCCGATGCTTTCTTAATGAACTCTTTTTAGCGTCTCACCGTCTACGCGCCCGATCCCACCTCCCCTGTTGACTTTAAAATCGCACGGAAGAACAAGTGTTGCCACTCGCTGCCTTCCGATCTTGATTTCCCTTTCATGTCACTCCGTCGCCCCGTTTGAATATTGGATGCTGTGTGTCTTCGATTTATTGCTCCGCGCCGTTTTATTCGCCCCTTCCGACATGTGGGAATTTAGTGTACTCCAATGTTATAAAAGCACGCTTAGCTATTAAAGATATTCTCCATAATAAAATGAGTGATCAGAGACATAGAACGAGTCTAACACCAGGGAATGGTTGAAATGAATTTGAAATGATAATTTCGAGAAAAGAAAAGTTTACAGTACGCTTTGTAGGAATAAGAGATATTTACTCAGTAAGAGTAAAGATCTATATATCTATAATATCAAAAAAAAAAAACAATATGGTAGGGAAAAGCAACATTTTTCACTTGCACGAATGGACAGGTCAGTCCGAGTAAGTACTACGACCTCACAGAACACCGGCGTGAAGTAGAAGTGTTACACTTCTGCGTTTCGTCTGGTGAGTGAGGTAGCCGGGGCCCAGTTTATGTAAAGGTGGGCAACACATTTGCAACCCTATGGGTGTTGCAAAAGTCCATGGGCAGCGTTTATCACTTAACATCAGGTGAACCGCCCCAGCCGATTGCCACTTTATCATATGTAGAAAATGTACAAACAGCCCAACTGAGTGTATGTGGTCACCACCACCCCTGATTGTAGCTTCGAGAGAGTTGTAAGCGAGGTGCCAGCTTTTGAGAGGTAGGGTCTTCGTTATTCCATTACTTGTTAATTCCGTTGCTTGACTCATCCGACGAGTTACAAAGGTGTAAGCTTAAACCTACCACAGTTATTTCCCACAAAATATCAAAGGAAACGAACAAGTGGCTCTAAATTTAAAAACATTTAAGTATTGCAAACGATTTGGCTCTTTCAACTTCTTACCTCTCTCTTTACACTTTGGGGCGCCATTGACTTTCAATTAACCACAACGGAGGCTCAATACAACGAATGAATTGACTTTAAGCAGTCGGCGCCATTTCCCACGCGAAACTAAGCGTCCACTCGAGAAAAAGCAACAGAAATGTAAAATGTTGGCTTTAAACGTAGTCGCCATTCATCGGAGCGGAGTGCTGTTTGCAAAATAGTATTAAATGGGAAGCCGGGCTTTGTCTTCGAGGGTCGTTAGGGGGCCTCGAGTGGGCATACTCGATTAGTCAAGGGTTGATTCTTTGTCCGTCTCGGGACCACTCCGAAATGTTACTCCGACGAGAGAAATCTCACAGCCTCCCGTTTTGACATTGTATTGTTCTTTCTTGACTTTGCAAGTCGAGTGTGCGTCGCCCCTAATGAGTTCGATATTTCTTGGGACATTGTTGTTTCTTCTTTTCACTATAATGTTACCCGTTTTCTTGTTCGACTTTCGCGCCAAATGCCAGCTGCGGTTGCCTGCCAGTGTTATTTTTTGAGCGCACTTTATTGTGATGACAGTTTTGACTACGTTTTACTTTTTTTTATTGTTTTTTTTTAATTGTTTTTTTTTATTTTTATATATCTATTTTTATTGCGGGCTTTGAGCGAGGCGACCGAATCAAGAAATTCCGTAACGAAAATAAAACCTAACACCTCCCACTCCGCCTACCATGTAGCTCGGCCAACGGTTCGCTTAACGTATATGTATATGGTACGACTGTACGAAGCTCGCACGGATGGATATTATAATATTATATTATCATAATATGATGATATGATATTTAGAGGATATCAAGTCTCAAACTTATGTTTCTTATTTCAGTTACCTTAGGCCTATTCAAATTCAAATTCAAATATCTTTATTCAATATAGAAGCATTCACTTACTTATTGATAGTCAAAAAACTCTACCACCGGTTCGGAAGGAAAGCCACTGACCTGAGAAGAACCGGCGTAAGAAACTCAGCGGGACATTTTTTTTACTTTGCCAAAAAAATTACAAATATGTGTACAATTATTAAATTCCACTTGAAAGAGCCTGGAGCGATCAATTCATTTTCAGAGTGTTTTATCATGCAGATAATCACTAATACTATAATAGCCATTAACACACAAACGTTCCTATACAAGTTTTTTAAATTTAGCAACGGATTCATTTTGAACGTTTTCTGGAATTTTGTTGTAAAAGCGTATACATTGTCCCATAAAAGATTTACTTATTCTACGCAATCTAGTTGAGGGTAGAACTAATTTATGCTTGTTCCTTGTATTAACATCATGCACATTACAAAATCTTGAAAAGTCATTCTTATTTTTGTGGACATACATAATATTAGCAAGTATGTACTGAGAAGCTACAGTCAATATTTTTATTTCTTTAAACGGGTTTCTTAGTGAATCTTTGGGGCCCAGGTTATAAACCGCTCGAATAGCTCTCTTTTGCAGGATGAAAATAGTATTTATGTCGGCTGCATTTTCCCAAAGTAGAATGCCATAAGACATTATACTGTATAATTTAAATGATAAAAATTCCTGAATACCTCTTACATGTACTGTAAGATAATAAAAATATTTTAAACGATACTAACTTCTCATTTATTCAATAAAAGAAAAAAAAACGTTTTTCTTATCGGTCAAAAAGTCTGAATTAATATCAAAGAAAAAAAAATACTGCATAAATAAAAAATAAAAAACAATTATAATTGCATTTGATTTTGCATTTGATTGCAAGTTGATAAAAAATGCTATGCAATAGCTTTACCGCGGCAGTCCCCGAGTGCCACAGTTATATTTTTGTATTATTTCTTATTTAGTCTGCAACTTCACTTTCATACTAGACCTAATTTGGTTTTACAGAGGATCGGCGTGGAGCGTAAGTATTTATTATTTGGCATTTCGACTGTTGTTTTAGCTGTTGAAAAAAAAATCACTAGATCCCGCAGATGTCACTACAATGATTCACTAGAAAAGTCAGTACATGGTGCCAGTGAACTGACTTTTTCTTTGCAACTCCGTCTGTTATTGAAACAGTTCAGTATTCTCGCTTTGAAACTTTGGGAAGAATAAATGGTAAACTGGCTTATAATATTTTCTATTGGGGTTAAATATACAGGTACATAGTAGCTTGTACCTTATCTGCTTTTTATCATCATGTCATCAAATACGATGACTCCGTGGCGCAGTTGCCAAGGTATTAGCTTCGGCGTCGGGTGTCGTGTGTTCGATCCCAACACGGGAAATCTATTTGTGTGACCCACAGATAGTTGTTTCGCATCTGGGTGTTTGTCCACGTGAAATTTATGTTTATAAAACGACCTTACAACACAGGATAAAGTTATCCTAAAGTAAGGGCAATGTTTTCTAAAAAAAAATCTTTTTGCATTGAAAAACTATTTTGGACTTGATGGATCTTGATGGGCGTTGTTATTAATTTATTGGCTATAACAACGTTACGTTACGAAAATATTAGTATTAGAAACCAATAGCTGCCTCAAATAGTTTATCATTCATCAACAACACTAGTTTATCACATAACTTTCAAATGATTCGCATCAGTCGGGACGTGTTTGAAAAATTAAATAATTTTATTTATTACATTGTCAGACACACACATACGTAAATACGTAAACATTGTAAATACAATCGAATAAAAGCAAAATTATTTATAAATTCACCCGTATGTCGGAGAATATATATACAAATTGAGTTTGCAGTGGTCGTAACGGGCTTTCGGAGATGTGAACGTGGCGAGTGCAATTATAAACGGGGCGGCGCCGTGACCCGTTTAAAAATCCGTAATGAACTCTCGACGCGGCGTTCTGGACTCAACTTGCTTCGTTAAATGTTCACGAGCCCACTCCAAGCCCGCCGCGTT